CGAGGAGAATGTCAGGCTGAACAATCTGCGCCGAGTTGACGTATTTGTTATTGCCGGCTTGGCGGATGACGAGAGACTCGGGAGCTGTGCCGGCGGCATTCTTGGCGAGTGTCTCGAGACGTGAGCCGTTGGTGAGGGAGGACGAGACGAGGACTTGGTTGGGCACGATGTGGTATCCCATGACGCGTGCAAGAGCCTTGGCATCGAGGTGCTTGAGAGAACCGCCGACAGAAGCAAAGGCACTGTCCACGGGAGCAAACACGGTGATGTTTTGCTCGTCAGAGACCTTGGGCATGAGCTTGGAGGCGTAGAGGCTGCCCAGGAAGTTGGGCACGTTGAATGCCTCGGTCGTGTTCTCAATACGTGACGGAGGAATCAACAAGTTGTCAACCACCTGGACGAGGCCGCCCTGGAAGCCAATGTCGCCTTCTTGGAGAGTGCAACGAGTGCCCATGCTGGTGGTGAAGACCACAGTGTCGCCGGGCTGCTTGGCGATGAGGACGTTTTGACCAAACGTCACGTTTGTGTATTTAGGGCTCTTGAGAAGCGTGGTCCGGACATAGGTTGGGCCAGTGTCAAGACCAGCTGTTGCAACCGTTCCTATGAGGATATGGTATTGCAGGAGTGGCACGGTGGTGGCCTTGTCATTTGGATCCCATACGCCATTGAGAGCGGTATAGGGAATGTTTTTGAAGGCCTCATTGGAAGGTGCAACAATCTGGAAGATGCGATGTAAGTAAGAGAGGTATATAGAATTGGCATTAGATCCAACTCATGGTATCATGAGGGTGGTTAAAGAGTGGTGAGAGACTGAACAAAAAAAAAAACACGTACGGTTACGCCTGCATAGCTGGGAAGCTGAAGAAGAACATCTGGATATTTCTGCAGAAACGTATTAGCACAGACCAATTGGCTGACTAGTTGTAAGATAAGACAGATGAATCTATTATCCATACCTGAATGAGCGAATAGAATGTAGATAGATCTTTGTTACCAGCGAGCACCGTTCCCAGATCTCTGGGATCTGCTGACACGCCAGAGACGAGTAGCGTCGCCAACGCTAGCAGACTTTTTGACAACATTGCCACGAATTCAAGTTTGTGAAAACCGAGAGATGTGTGATGTGGCTCGCAGAGCTTGAGAGGGATGTTTTGACACCGGCCAGAGAAACGAAGCTATGGCAGTATATAGCAGCAGCTGTCGGTTCTCAACAGCCTCAGGAGCAAGCAGTGGTTGAAGACAATGGGACCTGGCTCTTCTGCCACAAAGTCCAGACGGTGAGGGCAGAGGGATTGCCTTCAAGGGGTATGAATAGCCTGACAATAGTGTGTGAGCTAAACTGAGCTTGAAGTGTAGGCTGTCGACAACACTTACAACAAACGGTATTATACCCGTCCTAGAAGAGCGAGGGGGAAAATAGGCGAAGGCTGGACTCGTATGGATAACAGCACGTACAAACATGCAAAGGAAAATCTTGCTAGCCTGTAATAACGTCAGGTAGCAACAGCATGGGACAAAAGATACGGAGCTGAAAAAGGTTTCGGTATGATTCCTTGACGCTGCTGTGCGCTGGCAGAAAGATGCAAGGAGGCGAGAAGAGAGAGATATCGGGCAGCTGGCTAGACTACCTAATTACTGCTTTGCCATTGGAGCTTGGCTCTGTTTTACTGTAGCACTATGTATATTGCAATGGCTGGAAAACTTACGAGGTTCCTGGATGATCGGCATTGCCGCTTCTCACTTGGCCCAACATCGGACGCAAAGGCTAGCCCGCAGCTAATCGTCCAGCGGCTGGGATGAGCCTTGATTGGCTTGAAAGCCTCTTTTTTCTCCCTGCGTGATGTACAAGTACGATACGTGTACTTGGTTATCAATGACCTGGCCCAAATGCTACCTGGCCAGCTGAAGCTGTGAGCCGACATTGCAGCAGGTCCAGGGGTTGAATGTGTTAGTTGCAGCAGCTTCAATGTACAATCCATGCATCATCGCCGTATTGGAAATACCACTCCGTACCCGTAGGAAAAAGAAAAAAAACGCACGTCAAGACAACGGCGAGTAAACGATGCCAAAAGCAAATGCGGCTGCATCTAGTGACGCATCCCGACAGTAGTTTGGGTGTGCTGGCATGGAGCCCTTGCAAATGCAAAGCCGACAGGATACGATACGAATGAAAAAAGGCTGCCAAAGCAAAGCAAAGCGAATCAATGCTGCCAACATGGAATCCTGCTGTGTCCCAATCCATGAATGTGGTGCCACCCAATCGCTGCAGCGAATGCAACAACACAACCCCCCGGTCCTGCGTCCATACGAGCCCTGATGCATCACAAGCGCGACCGCAAAAAGCGGAACTCGTTGGAACTCAAGTCGAGTAGCGCCACGCTACGGTCGCAGCACCGGCAGCCTGAGAGCTGATAGGAACAAAAGAGACGACGATGGCGATGGCCAACCAGGCGCCATCCCTGTAGGGCCTCATCGGGAAGCTACCCGATCTTGTCCGAGTCATGGTCCGTCCGTCTCGCCGTAGTATTATGGAGATTCTCGGGTTGTGGGAACGGAAACGAGAAGGCTATGGATAAGATCCGTGCTGATCCACCGCCGTTGTAAGCATGCGGCCTGTAAGTTTCAACTCGGAGCTCTTATCTAGCAAACCGAGTTGAGTAGGCTTTCATTTACTTGTACTACTTGTGGCATCTCCTGCAGTGATGACGTCCTGTATTCGAGGAAAGGGTGCATGTCTCTGAACATTATCAAGAGAGATTGGATTGGATTGCAGGGTTCCCTCTGGTCAGCACAACATGCTTCGAACTGGGACCTTTGAATTGATACGACATGATTCCAACGGCCCCATCCACTAGGTAGGGCGGCGCTGCTGCTTTCACCGTGTATACGCCACAGCCTTTGTTGGGTAGGCCGGGTTGACTAGGTGGACATTAGCTGGTAGTACGAAAGGCGTCAAAATTGACTCTCTGATGGCATCAATGGTTGGTGACAGTTGGACCAAGCTGCTTCGTTGGTTCCATTGGGTAGATTAGTAGAGTACCAAGGTAACGCAGGGTTTTGTACCAGCACCTATGTGACATGCTCGTACATGTCGTACTCCTAAGCGGTCGCCAAGTTGAAGTAGTTGGTGTTGCGCAACCAATAAGTCGTCAATGGAATGACACCGGCAGTTGGTTTCCCCCCAAGTGCACCGTGATGTCTCTCAGGGCTGAACAGCGGCCGAAGCAAGGGCCGATGCGTGGTCTTTGCGCTCCGTTCCCAACTCAACCTTCAGCATCTCATTGCCAGCCGTGTCTCGTCTTTCGGCTTGCCATCCGAGGAACATACTCACATTGCTCGGTAGTATCGCCACATCCCACCTGTCATCTATACGAGATGCGAGGGAGTGGTTGCTTGACTGAGACATGCAGCAAACAAAGGTGTTGCGGACGCTAATTGCCGATAAAAATAGAGTGAGCCTCATCCATTGGTTGTCGAATTTTTGCTTGGTGGTGGGGGCCATCAAGGCCATCTGTGTGAATTGCCGATCTCAGCTCTTTTCGCTCGCTCTCCAACTTCTGACCTTTTCCTCCGCGGCTGGGATACGAGTATCATGCAGTCAATTGAACCAGTTTCTCTCTGCGGCCGCAGGATAGTACCGATTCCTCCAAATCCAAGAGATTGACGACGCCCGGGAGCCATTTAGGCGAGCAGAATGAGGCCAGCAGTTCAACCAAAAACCCCCACAAAGCGGAGTCAACCTGCGCTCTTAGCCCTGAAACTCAGCTGCCGCTATCTCTCTCAAACGCGGGACAACTTTTTTTTTGTCTGTCAGAGTCCTTGGCCATCTACGAGTACTCCGTATAGAGTTGCCTGTTGAGGGGATCCATTTGAGTGCTGTACGAGTACCTCGCAGTATATCGTGGAGCCAGAGCCTCGCTTGCCACCTCGCCAAGCCGGAGCTCACTGCCGCGATTTTGTAAACGATCGAGATTCGCTCTAGATATTGGGAGTCAGCGTTGAATCAGATTACTCTTGAGCCTGCAAGACTAGGCTTGCGGTTGACTGTAAGAGTCGGAGTCGGCGAAAGCTGTCTATGCTCAGCTTAGGAGTTCCACCTCGTTGCCCGGCCTCCAACTCAGTTCCGCCAAGCACTTGCTGTTCCTTCGCCATGGTATTGCATCGTCCGAGACTGTGAGACATAGTTTTGGATCAATCAGCTTGGTGGAGCTACTAGCCGCGGGCAGCGTTTAGTCCGTTTGGCAATTCCTCTTCTTCTTTTCTTTGTATCGGCGCTTGAACGGCACTGAACAGCCCGCGCTGACCAGACAATGGTTTGTAGAGCCCCCTCGGTGGGGATATATATGGGATTGATGTTTTATGTGTCGGGTAAGTTCATCAGCAGGATCTGCATGACGTATTTGAGGGCAGAGACGAGAGCTATAACTGTTTTCCCCCTTGCATTTTATCCAGAGTGGACACGGCTTCGGAATGAAGGATCTGGTCAGCTTTGCTGCAAACGGTGATTCTAGTCAGGGCAATCAATTTGAGTTGTGTTCCGAGTTATCTTCTGACCAGGAACCAGAAGTTTTTTCTGTTGTATGTAACATTCGACCCCGAAACTCCCGAGCCCGTTGGCTGGAAATCCAGGCCACCTGCTCCAAAGTAGCTTCATGCTACCTCAACTACATATGCATAGACGGAACTTAGGTTGTCATGGTTCCTTTGCGTTGGCATCAATTTACCCGGCAAGGTCTCCCACGTCCTGGAGCAAGCTAGCCGTTGTCGAGTGGCAGGAAGAAGAAAAAAGGACCGACAAAGTTCTCAGGCTTCTCTCGGTGCCCTATTTTTCCTGGTCCGGCCTCTTGGCAGCATTAACGTGTGGTGGCCAGCGGCGAAACCTCCCGTCGCCATTACGAGGTTGCCAGCATCTCTAGCGACTTTGATCTGTAGCTACCAGATAGCGCTGCTTGACGTGCCCTGGCTAGTGCGGATGCGGGAGGCGTAAAAGTAAAAAAACAACCTTGGAATCACGATGCACTTTTGGCTGTGTGTCTGCGAGGGCGTGGTCGTATCCAAGGCGGTGAGAGCGGCCATGAGCAGGGGATCTTCAGGCACGGCTCGGGGAGGGCACAAGTGGCGCAAGAGGCGCAGCGCTGAGCAAGCCACAGCGGCAGCTAATCGCGGCCGTGTGTTGCTGCTTTTACGAGTTTACAGCTCGTCTTCCACTAGAGCCCGCCTTCCGGCCTGTGCCGCTGAAGCCACCCACTGTCAAAGTACCAGGGGCCGCTGGAGTGTCGTGCGGAGTCCGCGCCAGACCCGATTCTTAGCGCTCAAAGGCACCGGCTACAGGCACCGACCTGACATTCTAGCGCCCTTCCGGTCTTTGTAACAGCGATACGGGAGGGCGCCTGGGAGCGCCGATACGAAAAGTTTGATTCGAAGGAGCTCGAGGCATTGTTGGCAAGATGGGTGGCCCGGCTCAGCGGCAATGGATCAACTCTGTGGTGCTTCCATGCTGCGTGCGACCACAGAGAGAACTCTCTTGTTGTATCGGCGGTGGGTACAGCGGACGCAATAGATGCGGCTGATCGATAGTCGCAAGCAGGTATCAGTCCCAACGAGGCAGACGAGCCTTGGTGCTGCAAACAAGAGATTGACGGGACGCAGCGCGAAATGGCCATGTGTGTCACGACAGACTGAAGATGGACTGTAGGACCGGTAGGTATGTGCATGGTCAGGTATGTGAGTTGTAGGGCGCTTGTCTTGCCTTGCCAGAAGGGTAGCAGCGGGCGGTGCTGCAACGATGCTTCATGTTTCCAGTGGTCACGATGGTGTTGAGAGCGTTCCCACGGCACGCTCTCAACATGGAACACAACAATAGGACTCCTGAACCTTAACTCCCTCCATCTTGTCGTGTAGTTCGCGGCCGTTTTTCGTGGGATTACTATCGCTATGCGGCCGCGGAGATAATAGCAAAAAGCAAGGTAAGATCTAAGCATACCGGACACTGTTAGCCTCGCCTTAACCTTTGCCTCTTGCTCTTGCTCCTCCCACGTTCTCACCAGTAGCGCTGCGTGATGGGACCGAGCTTAAGCTGTTCGAGGGTGTGGAGATTGGCCAGCAAAGAGTCAAAGAGACGAGATGCAAGGATCAGCTTAGCAAGGGACCGCACCTTGGCACTGGACAAGGTGCTGCACACGCCCTCGACACCTGCGAGTCTCGATATTCCAGGCCCTGCACGCCAGAGCTTGAAGTTGCCGCGACTCCGCTGCGAGGGCCGGGGGGCAGCATAATTGATTATCGCGCTGAGTGAGGAAGAAGGGAAAAAAACTTGAAAGTCTCAACGTTCCATGATACGAGTACATGTGCCTCGATCTAAACTGTATGCACGTGTACATGTACCTCTGCGCTGAGGTACCGCCTGAGGTCGCACCAGTATAGTGACTCGGTCAGCGTCCATTCCAATTGACGGAAGACAACAGCTTCATCCGCCCAGCTGAGAGTCTATTGTTTCGGACTCTTTCTTCCTCACAACGGCCTCTGCAGTCCCTCTTTTTGTCCCTCGCTCCCAGTTTCTCGCACAAAGTCTCTTCTGTTTATCGGCATATCAAAGCCGGCTCCCCATCAGCCTGTGCTCTCTTTAGGTCCCATACGTCACCGCGGGCCTCTTTCTTTTCCTCTGCGTGTCTCATAAGACGCTGCACTACAACACCTTGGCCAAGGCTTCCATTCTTTTTGATTCAACCTTGAGCCGTCTGTTGCAACACCAGCCCTGAACTCCTAGATTGAATACATATCTGCATTTCCCAATGGAGCAAAACTTCGACGGGCGACCGCCCGTTGTCCCCTCGGCCGCAACTTCCAGCGCGCCCACGCCTCTCCGTCCCGGAACCCCCAACACAGATGACAACCGCAACATTTTCGAGGGCACTGACACGGCCTCAAATGCTCCCGGGACTGGGACAAACCCCTTTGTAAGCCCGGATGCCTCACGGCCTGCTTCCAGCTTTGAGTCATCCAGCGGCAGCCCCTACGAAGAACGTCCCGGGGTGGGTGGCCAGCGATATTTCCACTCGCGGTTGGTCAAGAAGGGAGAAATCGAAAAGCCCTGGTTAGAAAAGGTCGATCCCAAGGAGAAATGGGTCACAATAATGCCCCTCCTCGGTATTCTCCTGGGCCTGGCTATTTCCGGCTTCTTGGTCTGGGACGGCATGCGGAGTGTTGTCCACCACAAGTACTGCCCTGTCTTGGATGAAGACTTCAGCAACGGCCTTGACCCGAGTATTTGGACCAAGGAGGTGCAGGTTGGTGGATTTGGGTACGTGCTTTTATTCGAATCATGTCTCGGCGCAGTGATTTTGCTAACAAAAGACTAATAGCAACGGCGAGTTCGAACAGACTACTGGCGGTGATGGAAACGTCTTTATTGAGAACGGTCATCTTATGATCAAGGCTACTCTCCAAGATGCAAACCTGGTCGAGAAGAACAATGTCATCAACCTGCTCAAGGACGGCACTTGTACCTCCAAGGACTACTATAGCTGCGTTGCCGCCACCAACACCACCAACGGCAACTCCAGTGTTGTTCCTCCGACACTATCCGGCCGTATTAATACGTTCAAGGGAGCAAAGATCAAGTATGGCCGTGTTGAGGTCACTGCAAAGCTGCCTGTGGGCGACTGGCTCTGGCCCGCCATCTGGATGTTGCCAGTCAACGATACCTATGGTCCCTGGCCTTCGTCCGGAGAGATTGATATCATGGAGGCCCGTGGAAACAACCACACCTATTCACAAGGCGGCAACAACATTGCTTCATCTGCTCTGCACTGGGGTCCTGACCCCGCCAATGACGCTTGGTGGAAGACCAACAACAAGCGCAAGGCTCTACACACCACTTACAGCGCCGAGTTCAACACCTTTGGTCTTGAGTGGTCGCAGAAGTATCTCTTCACCTACATCAACAGTCGGCTGCTGCAAGTCACCTACACCAACTTCAACAAGCCCATGTGGAAGCGAGGCGCTTTCCCCGACTCCACCTCCAACGGCACCAGGCTGGTCGACATCTGGAGCAAGACTGGTCGTGACAACACTCCATTTGACACAGAATTCTATCTCATCCTGAATCTTGCCGTCGGTGGAACAAACGGCTGGTTTGAAGACGGCATGTCTGGCAAGCCCTGGTTGGATCACTCTCCCAACGCCAAGAAGGACTTTTGGAACGCCCGCGACACTTGGTATCCCACATGGACGCAGCCTCAGCTCGAGGTCAGCCGTGTTGTCATCACTCAGCAATGCGATGGCGACGAAGAATTGTGAGCTACAAGCATGACTACTACTGCACTTGTCGCCGCAAGGGAAATGCCGCTCAACTACATCTATACTTTGATGACATCACAGGCTACCATAGACGCGCGGATGAAAAATGGTGTAACTTTTTTTATTTTTGCAAAAATTATCGGGTATCTGCATGGAAAGATTTTTTTTTACGAATGAAGACTACAGTAACTTCAGGTAATAGGGATGGATGGTATACTTGGCTATTAGATGCGCAATCAGTGCTACCAGGCGTTTGAATTGAATATCCACTGATTTTCATGTTATTTTGAAAAGACAACCGTAATCTCGTGATATCAAGTACATGTACTTATGAAAGCGTCGTTAAGCTTCACATTACTGAAAATTACACGACCTACAGGCATCGAGCGTTTCTGGATACAACGCCCAGCCAGCTATGAGTCTCAACACCAAGTACGGAAATATCCAGCTCGCTTGCATGTAGGTAGACACGGCACGTTGATGCGGTGTAGAAGCCAGCTGGAAACAGGGACGGGAAAAATTCCTAATTCGAGAAAGGCGGCTGTCTCTGTTGGCAGATGACGTGCGATATTTCTCTCTCTGAATACCAAGAATATTGGATGGCTCTGCATGATTCATTGGTAAGGCTGCATACCCTGGAGTGGGCTGCAGCTCACATCACAGATTTGGATGGAAGGGAGGAGACAGAGAGAGAGCCCTTGTCATGAATGCTGGCTTTCAATAGTGTGCTGTATCTGCTCCTTGTTCTGGTTCACTGTCAAATTTGGGACCCGAGATGCTGGATGGCGGATATCCACAGATACAAGCAGTTACCCATGGATGTTGATAGCCTCGTTGCTCCCTACATTTGGTGTGATATATTCGCATTAAGGTACATGTACGTGGCCGGTACAAGGTGCTGCATGAAGCTGAAAACAGGGATGTAGATAAGGCTGAAATGCAAAGTAAGCAGAATTGGGCTCTCTTTCTGTCTTTCTTTCTTTCTCATCCACAAGGGGATCAACGTGGTGCCTGGAAGGTCGGCTGCTCTTTTTGCTGCCTGTTGCAGATTGTTGTCTTATCTGCCGCTCGTGGCTTTTGAGGCAGTCTCAACAATAGATTGTGACCGAGACCTGCATTATCGTCCGTCTTACCGCCACACACACCCATCAAACAGGTACGAAAACGCCGTTGATATCATTGCCCAACCATAAAGATGGGATTTCTTGCTAACTGACAGCTATCCAATACCAAGCCAGCCGATCATCTTTTAGTGGCGGACACTACACAAAGGGGGAGGGGGCGTGGGCGTGTGTGTTGAGGATATCTTCCGAATGGTTGTAGTAGGATTCCTGCCCCATTCGACTCATTCTTGTTGTTCTTCCTCCTCGTCTTCAGCCGCAAAGGCTTCAATACTTCTCGGATACTAATCTCTTTCTCGTTCTAATAACTGCATTGTACTTCCAGTCATGTATGTGCATGTATCTGACAAGTAGTTGTTCTCTTGGGCCCGGAATTACCGGTGCTGCAGCAATATATTGATCTAATGTGCGGCGATGCATGAACACGTTTCAATGTGTAAGGATCTTTTTGTCAAGGAGGTTTCCTAACTGGGAGTTGGATGCGGTATGGACAACACGAACAAGTCTACGGGCATGTTTATGCTATTACATATCCAGCATATTGGCTTAGGGGCTTGCATGAGGACGGAGTTGGCGATTATGTGATTTGCTTAGCGAATTCAATAAACGCAGCCACAACGGAGAGAATGCCATGGTGTGGTTGGGCTGAAGGTACTCGTCGGTTACAATGGCGTTTAATTGCAACCATGTTCTTTTGCTGTTGGTGAGTGGTAGCACAAGTACAGGCATATGATGTCTGGCCAAGGGTTGTATGGTCCAAGTGTACGAGTACATGAGTGATGTGTTGACGTGGCTATCCGATGATTGTGATCCCCCAATTTCTCGGAGAAGTCCAGGATGGTTGCACGGATATGTAGGGAGAATTGAGGCTACGGCGGCTACGGGGGGTGTACTTGATGAGCAAGTTCATGAAGCTGAATGCCATGGGGATGAGCCGCTCAGTTAGCTTGTGAGGAAGCGTTAACACCTCAGCCACGGGTTTCCGTATCAGGTGCTGGCCTGGTTATTCCGTGATGAGTAAGTGTTTGCGCCGTGACAAGTAAGGGGGCGGCTGGTAAAGCCTATTATAACAACATTTGGAGTGTGGCTTTCTTGGCTCATGAAAGGGAGATTGTCGTGGCGTTTAGACGGCGCATGGCAGCGGCATGGAAGCATCCAAAGCAACCAGACGTTCCAAGGAGGCGTTAGCCAAGACCCTTATTGCAGGAGAAGCAAAGTATACAGCATTTAGCGCTCTGTATAATGTAAGTCCTGATAGTACCAGTATTGAAGCCAGCCGGTCCTTGATGCAATTACTACGCATTGGATGGGGCCCGATTATTGCCCTATAGACGTGCAGTCTGTATACATGCAGCGTCAATATTACTACCCTAGGTAGTTACATTCGAACTACTAAGTGGTTAGGTAGTAGAGCTAGTTTATTGAATTGTCAAAGTTGGCTGCTCTCACAACAACATTCAGCTGCCTCCCTTGGGGTTCAACCAACGGCCACGTGCACACAGGTTCGAGAAATGATTTGCAGACTTTCCAGGTTGACAAATACTAATCAGCCTGGTTGGTAAAAATCTGCAAATACTACCGTTCCGGACAGACGGTACTGAGCTTGGGTACGTGTTGTGTGGGAAGGGCAACGAAGGAGTTGCGCTGTAAGTTGAGACCATGTCAATGACTAGGTGCAACTATGCAAACAGAACGGAGAATTTACCCACCCAAAAGTGGAAATACGAAGCCGCGATGGAGAGCTGCCCAAAAATAGCTTCTAGTGCATGGACCAAGTGCATGTTCCGTGCCATTATGCGCAACAACGCAGCGCTCAGGTCCGTTTACAGCCTCTGATTTGCAGGCCGGCGCACTCGCCACCCACCACAAGGACTGCGGATACGGTGCCTGTGGCACTCTCGATAGGCCTCGTTTAAGTCAAAGGAGGGACTCGAGCCGTCCAAGCAGCCATCGTCTCTTCCCTAGCAACCCTTACTTCTGCAGGGCCGGACTTTGCTTTTTACTCCCAAGCCTCGTAGCCAAATCCCACGGAATGGGCCGGCGTAGCACTACTGTACGAGGGAGCACCGTACTCGTACGTTCTCGACTCTGTGCAAGGGGTCCGGAGCTTCGAGGGGAACGGGCTGGCCATCTTTGCTTTTTGGATGCGCTGCTGCGGTGGCGCTGGCCGTGCGTGTGTGGTTGTCCTGAATCTGGCGTGCAGCTGGGAGCGATCCAATCGGGCATCAGGAACTCGACTCTGTTATCTCTGGTGGCGTTGACGCCATGGAGCTATCGACGGATTGCATTTTTCTTCTCATGCCTGCCTGGCCGGCCCTCTTCGTAGTCTGCTGCTGGCATCATGCATTGGGTAGAGTTGGACGGCCTGCAATCTTGCCGGAGTCTCACAGATTCGATGCGATACGCTCTCTCGCACCATCTGCCTGGCCGATAAGACGGAGCCATGAGTGCCGGGAGACAGTCTGGCCCTAATGTTCCGAGCCGGGTGCCGCGGATTGTGTCAGCCACAGCCTTTGGTCGATGATGATGGCATTCAGGCGAGTGCAAGATGCAGCTATCTGGCGCTAGAAGGACGCTGGCCACAGTAGCTTGGAGATACTGTTCCGCACCCGTCGCCGCTTTAAGGGTGGTTTTGGCTGGCAGAAAACGAGGGCCCACAAGTCGCTCGCTAGGGTTCCCACAAAGGCCACCAGCTTTTCAAAGGTTCAAGTTTCTTTTTTCTGCCATTCTGCCAAATCTCACGCCCCCCCCTGGACTTTTTGCGCTTCCACTTGAACGTAGATTTGCACCCCGGGCATCGAGCGGGCGATTCGCCGAGGAACCCAGAGAGCGGGCACGGACTGAATCCATCTCTGGAAAAACGAAGTCAAAGCATTCAACTCCACTCAGACTATCTCCCGTCCCAGGGCTGCGAGGACGTGTTGTCGCCATTGGCAGTGGCAAGCCATTGAGTTTGCAGTCGCCCGCTCCAAGCGCTATCCAGGAACAGGCTCAGGCACAGGACAGGCACAAATAAGCTGGTTCCAACTCTATGGAGCCGGCCAAGGCCCTTGGGGGCGCTAAGCGGGGAGAAGAATGTCCGTATTACCGGCTTGGTCTTCGTGACAGCTGCTTTTGACTGTACGAATCCACAGCTATTGTGACCATGCCGGCGGTTGTTTGGGTCATGGGCCAAAAGCTGTGGCCGAGGTAAACAGCCAGAGAAGCTTTGTCCTGGAACAAGGGAAAAGACTATTCCCAATGGTCAGCACCAACGAGCGGCTGCGGGCATTCACAACAAACTGTACTTGGGCTCGTGCGGGAGCAAAGGGCATAAACGAACTGCCATTTACAGGCCGCCAAGAAGCACGTACAGGCATCAGGGTCCGGTCAAAGTTCACGGTTAGGCCAGGGGGAAGACTGGGCCAGCAATGTCTGTCATGACGGACTCTTGGATATTGTTCAGATTACTGAGCAAGGGTATGTGCTACTTGTACTGACTGAGTGGTACTTTGTGCGAAGCCCTCGACCCGAGAAAAACGTGGGCGGTGGTCCGGGACCCATGAGGAAATGTTTCTCGCAACAACCCACTCATTGTTAACCACGAGGGGCTGTAGCATCGGTCTAGGATCATCTGCTCCGTATTGGAACCTGGTGTCTCTGGAGTGAGGGCTCAATCTGTTGTCTATCTACTTGTACCTCGCTTTGACCAGCCGTCCTGCTTCGTTGCCGAATATTGGGCATCAACTCACGCCAGGGCTTCGTTTACTCGCCGGCATCTTGGCCCGTCCTCTTCGCTATCGTATCGTTCCGACTGCTACGAGTGTCCTGCGGCCTGGAGTGGCGTCCAAATGGATGCCAATTCCCATCAGCTCGCTCTTGTTGCTCAACATGCCATGC